TACAAAGGTGTAATAAATTAGGTGCCGTATTCTTTATAGTTTTGATATATTTGCCTAGTCTTTGATGTCAGACTTGTTCTACTCATTGGAATAACTCTACTATGCCATTTGTGTCATTTTTATAGTGTCAATTGAAAGCATGCCCGCTAATGAGCGCAGAACCCGGAATTGCGGGAGCACGCCACAATTGCCACATGCGCGCGCGCACGCCACTTCACTTAGCGCTAACTTTGGAATGTCACGACATTCGCGATAGAGGTCAATACGCCCGACATCAACAGATTAATATTTTTTATCCACAACGAGCAGGCTGTTGGCCTGCAACTCACCTAATGGAAAGTGATGATCGGGCCGAAGATGGAAGCTCGCTTCACTTTGGATGTCCACCGACCACCGACCTCGAGAAGAGTCATTGTGAAGAGATATGATTATTGAAAGTTATTATTAAAATTTATTTAAATGATATCGTTAATTAAAAGCTTGAAAGTGTCTGGCAGATGTTGATTTATTACTACAATATTTTCTTCGTACTTCTTCAAAGCCTAATAGTAACTAACAGGAAAAGACACATTTTACTATGTTAGCAGTTAGTAATTTAGAGCTAAATTAACAATTGTTAGCAACGGCAAAATTAAAAGCATGTCCGTAATCTAATTGTAAAATATATTCCTTCCATATTAAATGTCCATTACTAAAAATATAACACCGATTTGCCCGCGAAAAGAAACGCGGAAGGCGACCATTTTGTTGCACAAGAATTGCGCAACAGTCGCTGTGCATGTGATACATCGACCGCCGACTACCGCGGGCGAACTTAATAGCTGTAGGAACACCGGCAATCGACTGTACTCATATAGAATAGTCAGTCGTAGGCTATGCAGTGCAGGTGTCAGGGCTATCGATCTTACTGCCCTAGTGACTGATATTTCTCCCTCAACTTTTGGGGAAATCGATGTCATAATTAAAGGATAAGCTTAAGCGCAGATCACCAACTTTTAGTTAGCCGATAGTTAGACCCGATCCTAATTTGTATGAAGAATTGAATTTGACTTTCATATGTGGCCATACTGATTAACAGCCCGACCCATCTATCGGCCAACTAAAAGTCGCTTGTCTGCACCTTATGATTTGGCGATTGGTGTTATTCATAAAATAATTAACGGATATAATATTGCAAAAAAGCTTATTTAATTGGGTACAACCAGAGTTTACATTGAAATTTGTGTAAAAACTTATCATAGGGTAGTTCAATAGGTTTACGGCCATTTAAGCAAAATTTCGTATTCAGAAAATTGTCGGCCGTTTGGTGTAGTGGTTCAGAACGGACTACTATNAAATTTGTGTCAAAAACTTATCATAGGGTAGTTCAATAGGTTTACGGCCATTTAAGCAAAATTTCGTATTCAGAAAATTGTCGGCCGTTTGGTGTAGTGGTTCAGAACGGACTACTATGCCGAGAGGTCCCGGGTTCGATTCCCGGTCGGGCAGAAATTGAAATGATGAATTTTAATTTCTGTGACGGGTCTGGGTGTTTCTATGTATAATATGTATGTATTTACAAAAAAAAAAAGTATTTAAGTATGTTTATATCCGTTGTCTAGTACCCATAGTACAAGCTTTGCTTAGTTTGGGACTAGCGGCGCAGTGTAAAAAAAAAATGTCCAAGGATAAAAAAAAAAAAAAAATATTGCCTATTCTCGGCCATTTAATTCAGTTTACGGCCGCTTGTTGTGTTAGTTTTCGGCCAGTGTTCAGATTTTTCAAAATAAATTTTATTATTTGCAAAAATCAACATGTTTTTAATACACTTTTAATGTAAAATAATTAGGAACATAAAATTTTCCTTTTTGAATTTAAATGTGATTTTAACAGTGATTTTTGCAATAACCATTTCGATTACCAAAATATTTATGTATACGAGACTAATTCCAAAAATTTGAATAAGTTTATATTACATATGAGCATTAAGAATAATATATTTTACCAAAACAGTAGCTTTATAACCTTTTAATTTTACATGACAGCCCTGGAAATGCAATGTATATGTATAATGTTTATGTAACGTTTGTCACGTGTATAGGAAGTTATATCACATCCATGCATATATTCATTCAGGCGACAAGACGACGTTGCGTGACGTCTCTACTTTGTAACACATCCTGTAACAATGTACTAAGGTGCATGTTACAGAATGAAGTTCTAAACTCGACTCAATTTCGGGAAAGAAATATACATGTACAGTACATGTTTAAGTCAAGCACAGAATTCTAGTCTAAACAAAAAGTTTGTGATTGCACAAAGATCTATGTTTTTAGGTCTTTAGGATGGTTACAGTATTAATTGATTTAGGAACTCTGACTTCAATATAGAAGGTATCCAAAAATAGTGACACCCAGAGGCCGAAACCCAGAGGTACCTAGAGAACCACTACGGGCTACCGGGGCGTTCCTCCAATTTCCGTGATTTTTATAGTATACACTAGCTGACCCGGCGAACTTCGTACCGCCTTAGCGTAGAGATTTTCTTAATATTTTTTTCCGTAAGAACCATCCTTGGACTTCCACAAACATTTAAAAAAAAGAATTATCGAAATCGGTTCAGCCGTTCACACGTGATGCCGTGACAACGCGAAACGGGTTTCATTTTTATATATATAGATTAAACCTTACTAACTGGAAACTTACATGACTAGTAATAAATTATTAACTTTGTTAATATATAGTTATATAGTTTTCAAGTTATGTTTATTTTTACAATTTCTCTTCTCTAAACTTCTTTTTAAACAAACAAGCTACGAGTAATACACAGTAATATGTAAAGAAAACAGCTTCTTTTACACCAAAGCAAATCGAGAAAAAATTCAAACTCTCTGTGCAAAAGCATGTTACCTAAACAAACAAATGCGCTAAAAAGCGGGGATTTATTTTCATAATTTCAGACTTTCAGACTTTCAGTATTTGCATCCGCAGTAAAAGTTATAGGGAAATAGAATACATTAACCACTTATGTGGTTTTCATACGAAGAAGAATAAAAGATAATATGAATAGTTTTAAGTTAAATAATTAGTAAAGCAGTGGATGTCATTTAATTTTGTCTGAAATAGGTACATTAAAAGTAGACCATAATTGCTAATTTGTAATGTCTTTAATTCAAAACACAGCAAATGTTCGTGAAGCGTTTGAATTGCGTTTGAGAAAAAATAGTTCTCTGTCAGCTTTTACGTAAAGGCGCGTTTACGTTTCAGCTTCGTTTGAACTAGCTGTCAAAACGATACCGCGATACGGATTTGTCATTAAGCTGATTTTCGTTCGTCGTTCAATTGGTCCAATTGCGTTGCAGTTGAAAATTTTAGCGCAATCGGGGCCCTGAATGATCAGCATTACATCACCGTCATAACATAGCGAATTAACTATTGTATGGCTGTACGTGTGGTTTATCCGAATTATACTATACATATTATATCTATTGTGATCTCGATCGTTATAATAATCTTAGATGGCTCTAGAGCTTGCTTTTGAATAGAAATTGATAACTTATCTGATACAAAGGAGATAGATTTGCTAAAGCGATATTATGATTACACTAAGTAATTGAATAATATGTAAATACAAGTAAATATTCTGAATTAAGAAAACTTTATTCGTTTAACGTTAACGCATTATTTTTTTAACTGTTGTCTGTTCCTGATTATTGTGTAGCTACTGTTTTTTCATCATTTCCGTTCACAATTGCCCGTCTTTAAAAGTCTGGTCGTCTTTACCTAGGATCTACTTTTTCGTGCGCAAAATCTAGCGCACCGCCAGAGAAATGTATCTAAATATCTTCAACTCTGCCTTAAACGAAACTCGGAATCGATGCATTGCAGTCCAAAACCCTTCCCAAACTGAAAGCGTTGCAATTTGGTTGAATCCACACCATTTCCTGCTTTCGTTCTGCTCTTATTTTGTCTCCTCCCCACAACCCGCAATGAATGGTCGAATTTTAAAAGTCGCGTTGCGGTTACTATTGTTGCAAGGACGCTCTGACATTTGGTTGAAATGTAATGTTACTGAAGTGCCTTACGCAATGCGTTCATTCTTCTTATTAGCCGATTCTCAGCGATTTGCAGAGAAAACAGAGCTATTATGGCGATTAGATGGCGGGGTGTTAATTACTCAATTAAACTGGTTCACACCGCTCGGAACAAAAGAAAGTGAAGTTGCAAGCTCACTTGTTCTTTAATTTGAAATGACAGTTTACGGAGCGGGCAGTTACGACGCTTATTGACGTTATGTGAACAAGTTATTATAACAAAACATGTGAAATACTGCAATTAAGTACATTGTTTTGATTGCTGGCTGTAACTTCTTAAATCTTTTAGAATCTCTTAACCAAACAGGAAACATACTTTTGTGCCTTCTACTTCAAAAGTGGCCCGGTTGTTGTTAAGACATTATTACTTCGTCTTCTTTTATTTACAATCTTTTCAAAAATGTGTCGATAATATCACAGGAAAGCTTTTGTGGATGTTGATGTTTCACCAAGGCTGACTTATTATCCGAGGTACAACATACCTTCCGAGAACGCGTCATGCAACTCATGTATGAGTGACGTCGACATTGTTCGCCTGTGTACGGAAAATTGGCGAGCTCCTTTTAAAAGATGGTTAACAATATCTTTTCTAGTACATGATGAAGTCAGCTAGCTCCAGAAGCCTTACGTAAAACGCTATAGGCAGTAATTTTTACTCCGTTGCATCATTGGAGCATTATTAAGTTAACTCATGTTTTCTACAGTATGGACCATTAAAATTTCATCTCTCATTGACAAGTGGGCTTGGTGTGCTTCCTTAAACCATTTTTAATACGTGAGGAGAAACAGCAAAATCCAAAATACGTTGAAAATCTACAGGACAATCTTCAAAATAAAACACGGCACAGTACCTATTCGGAGTGTTGGTTTTAGCATTTTCCATCCCTTGTAGAAAATGTTCGTTCTAACCAATGCTTTTTGTCTACAGCCGAGCGACTGTGCGGGCACCCAGCTGTCCCTGCCAACGCCCGAGTGTCCCTGTCTGCGGACCCCATCGTCCCAGGGACGCTCGCCACATACGAGTGTGATGATGGATATGAACTCTTCGGCGCACATGAGAGAGAGTGCACTTTGAGGGGAGACTGGACTGCTGAACCTCCCTTTTGTGGTAAGTCTTAGCAGCCATTGCTTGTGCGCAATGTGCGCTTATAGCTACTATAACTACGTTACTAGGTATGTGCAAACGCACGTAAATGAAGTCTCAAGCTTGCGCACACCCTAAGTAAAAGTGAAGTAAAAATATATTAACAAATATTTATATTTTTTCAAAAATTAGAATATTAGGTTGGATTCTAGACAGATCTTCGTTTGAATTTTATAGTTAAACACACTATGGTGCTAGCTACCTACCATTGTCGTGTAACGTTACATAAAAGTAAACACTCTTGGGCTGAGTTGCACCACCTAACTTTGACCGTAACTATAACGATAACCGGCGTATTTTGTATGGAATTTGGCAGATTTTTTACGTTTGATAAAGTCAAAGTAAGATGGTGCAACCCAGCCTTATTTGTATGTGTGTTCTTCAAAAGTAAAAATATCGTTCAAAATGTACATTTTCAATTCCATTCAAAACTGAATTATTTACTGTAAAATATTCGAGCTCTCATGGAAAATTCGGTGCACTTTAACATTTGTATCTTTAATATTTGGTCATTCCAAACATCATTATTTGTCGCCGACCATATTTTTGTGGTTTTTTCGAATATTCGGAGAACTGGTACCGTTGGTCAAATTTCAATTATGGGTCTAATTAAGAGTGAAACATTTTACTGATTAATTAAGTGCATATCGTTAATTACGAATCACGTTATTTCTGGAAGGTGGCAATTAGTTTAATGTTCCGCACCAGCGGCCAAAAGGGCTTTAATGTGTGTATTTTGTTCGCAAACAAAAAATTAACCTTTCGAAAGATAATTTCTTAATTGATATTGTCAGTGACAAAAATAAATTGATGAGATGAATCAATTATTACAAGTACATACAAAATCGTTCTATTAATTGGGGTAAAAAAGGTAATTGAGAGACAGGTCGTAACAATTGTTTAGAAATTAGATCTTCGAAAATGCTTAAATAACACGAAACTCGTAACTAATATTTGTTTCTGCATCTTTTTTAAACTCCGTATTTGTTTGCAGGTACAAACGTAGCTTTCCGCAAGCCAGCCAACCAGTCCACCACAGTGCGTGGTGGCGCCGCAGCCAATGGCAATGATGGCGAGAAGACCACAGAACACGATGGCAAGAGGTGCACAGAAACTCAGCGCGAGGCTTCCCCGTGGTGGCAGGTGGATCTCCTCAGACACTACGCCGTCAAAGTAGTCCGAGTCACCACTAGAGGCTGTTGTGGTAAGTGGCCATTGCTTACTATGATTATGTAGGGTAACTTGGGCAAGAAGACCACAGAACATGTGGAAGGAATCTCGACTCAACCCGAGCCCTGCCTGATTGCAAGTGGATTCACTAAGGCTGAGTTACACCACCTAACTTTAACCGTAACTATAACGATAACCGGTGCTTTTTGTATGGAGTTTGACAGATATTTGACGTTTGTTAAAGTTAAAGTAAGATGGTGCAATCCAGCCAGCAGACAAGCGTGTCTTAGTGAATCATTATACCATGATGCTTCTCTAATGGTGAACCGTGAAAATGTGTTAGCACGACGATTATGAGATGTACTGAAAAGAGCAGTATTTTTCAATGACATCGGTCACTGCGAGAGACGAGAATTCCACATTAAATTCGCTTTCCATCATTTAATACGGGCTATAAAAATCTTCTATATTTGAGGTGAAATAATATCGAGTTGTGGAACAGTGTGCCTACCATGAGTTTACGTTAGGTAAGCTCGCTAGCGAATACGTCAAAAAATTCTATGAAGATTTTATTTCTTGAAAGTAGCCACTAGGGGCGCTGCACAATATGTCATACATTTAAATGTCATTTTTTTACGCAGTCGCTAGCGAGCACACCTAACGTAAACTCATGGTAGGCACACAGATCTCTTCTGAGTATTAATAATTAGTATTATTAATAATACATTATTAGATAACTGTTAAACTTGTAAAGAGAGCAAAAACCAATATTTTACTTGTGAGAAATTTCATAACTCTTCTAGTCTGAATCAAATCTAACGGCCAAATCAAATTGAAATTCACTATCTATTGCACGCGGCTTTGTTCTACACCATTTGTGTACTAATTTTCTACAGTATACTTTTACAAAAGACAATTAATGAAATCGGTAATTATTTTTATATCATCTTTTATTCGAATCAAACGGACTGTTACAAATCCGGTTGGAAGTTTGATAATCAATTCAATTCGTCAGTCACTATCAATGGTACTGTGTTTAATCTGTTCGACACTAAAAAGCCATTCGGTTGGATTCACAAACCACGGATTAAAATCGAGTTTAGTATTAAGTGGGGGTCAATCAATGTATTGTCGGCCGTTTGGTGTAGTGGTTCGAATCGGACTACTATTCCGGAGGTTACGGGTTCGATTCCCGCACAGTACAAACATTTGTGTGCATGAACATATTTGTTTGTATTGGACTGGGTGTTTTCTATATGTATGTATTTACAAAAAAAAAAAAAGTATTTAAGTATGTTTATATCCGTTGTCTAGTACCCATAGTACAAGCTTTGCTTAGTTTGGGGCTAGCGGCGCAGTGTAAAATGTCCAAGGATATTTTATTTATTTTATTTATTTATTTAAAAACATACGTGGGCTGTGCAGTACTGATGTGAGGCTTTAATAAAGGTATTTAATTGAAAACCGCTTGAGCGCGTGTTAAATTATTATGTATAATATTATAATAAGAAAGTGGCTTTACCCATCCGTTTATTGTGATTTATTCAAACTTCGATGAATTCTGTTACACATTTCATTTTAACTTAGATTCTCTAGATTGAGTGCATCTAGATAACTTACAAGCGTTCACAAATAGAAAAAACATCGCTATCTAAGTTGGCCCGGCCGGAAATCGAACTCTACTTCTTAGTTCTTTTAAACTTGAAGAAACTGATATCCGTTTTACTTAAAATTGTTTTTTACATCACAATAATAATGTAAAAAACTATTCTGTTTGTAACACGGTACAAAATATTTAACTTTTAGAATGGAAAATTAAATGTTATTTTAAAACAGTGTTCAACAAGTGTGTAACTTTTTAATAGTAAGGGGGTTAAAATCAAAAAAATTGCCGGTCATATCTCACTCTTTTCTCTTGCATATTACTGATGCTCGATGACTGAGCATCTGAGCTAAACTATACAGGGTATCCATGAAACCGAAAAGTATGGGAATGTATAAAATATTATGAAATAAAATTATTGCAACAACATTTTTCAAAGGATAATGTTAAAAACTGTAAGGTAGCCGCAATAATTACCTAGCCATCTCGTTAAAGAAATTTTTAATTTCATAATGTAGTAAATCAATTTATTTTTTCTTTCCAAATATGTCAGTAATATGATTAATGATATTAATTTGTGTAAGACGATTAAAAATGTTAGTAATTTAAAGTAAGTAATTAATTAATTATGTTAAACACAAAGCAACTCATGCATAACAAGTTTTAATGAAATATAATTCAACATAACAAGTTTGATTGAATTTGTTTACAAAAGTGTGTAGTAATTTATAATAATAACATGCACTTATTTTAAATGGTCAATCTAAATTCGGAATTTGTAAAATGTTTACAGCTTTTACAATGAAATGCATTTCCTCACATTCTCTTTCTTTTCTAGATCTTTTGATTTAATTTTTTCATAATCATGAGAAAAACCGTATCTCAAAATTAGCTACTTTTTAAAAATAACCCCGTATTTTCGGATTTCATAGTCACCCTGTATAATCGAAGCCGGTTTGCATTGATCCTGAACTTGATTGCTAGCATACTACCCTCGTCATTGAGGTGACTTGCGTATAACATACTATGGTAATGGTTATGGTCAAAAGTATGCTAATGCATCTCGTGCACTCGGGTCATTGAGTGCATGCTATAATACTTGACTAGTATTAACTCGTGGCTTTACCCGCAGTGATTTTAGTCGTGGGGAGTAGGACCTGCTTGGATACAGACAGCGCAGGGCCGGTCGTTGTAGTCCTTCGGAGAGCCATTTGTCTAACAGTGGACGTCATTTGCCTGAAATATACGAACAAACATTGTCTAGCACACAGTCTCAAAATCTGAAACTTTTCAAATATATTACATACATTTAATTATATATTGGTCGTCCTAATAAATAATATTTAATAATATTTAGAGCATTATCATAAAAATTACGCAATTCACTAAGTTACACGTGCCAGCATGTCAATTACATAAAGTTACTTACATACGAAGTTGTCCCGTCGTGGTGAAGACAGAAGTTTAGGGGGAACCTAGCTCTCCCGGACAAGTGTCCTAGCAGTCCAATAAATGTTTAACTTAATTTCAAGTTCGTGAAGTAGAATTTCAGTTGCGCTTAACATGGTAAGTGTACGTCTATTCTCGTTACCATCTATGAGTACATATTACTTACGTCCAGATGGTAACTACACTGCGATGTACTACAGAATCAACGGCGTATTTTCATTGAATATTTGAGTCGTGGAATTATAACTACCACGTTACTGATGGATATATCTATTAACCCTTTTTAATTAAAATAATAAATAAATATTTAGTTAATAGAGGCGGAATGATTCGTCCATAATACAATAAATTAACTTTGACCAGGCGAATGTTTATTAATTAACTACACTACGTCTCTATTGCTTTAATTTAAAAAATATAATAAATCATTAAGCTCAGTCGAATTATCATATCATTACATCTTTTTACCGAGTCTTTTTGCATTCACTTTTATTAACCACAAATACGAAGAGGTGACCACTATTGCTTCAGTTGTCATCATTCGTCACAGCCGAGCGAGGGTTGCGCAAGCGCCGACCGACTGTGAAGCTGTCAGAATGTGCAGTTGCCAATTGCAGGTGGACCTAGTATGCGTAAGAACCAAAGCACACGATGCGTTTCGGTGGCGATGTGACGCCGGATCGTTGTCGGTACGTCGTCTTACATAGAAATATCTGTGGAGCCCGGCACGCGAGCGGTGGAGCGCCGCGTCGAGCGTTAACGCAACAACGTTGCGGTGCGACGCCGCAACGTATCATGTGCTTAGGCTCTAATAGTTCTTGTGCGACTGTATAGTGTTAGTGCATAGGATATAAAATACTAGTAATTTAATCACAGAACCGTAGCACGGAAAAGCCATTTGAGTAACTTGCTGTTATTCGTTTTTCGCCGCATTAACTTCACAAAAATAATGTTGGTTGAGACTGAAGAGTCCTTTACTCAGTTTCTGGTCTATCTGAAGATAGAGCTGTTTAAGCTCAGTACTTTGAAAATAAAATATACCTTATAGGTATATGTAATGTATAGCTAGGTCGCAGTATTTGGATTTCAACCTGTAATTCTACATTACGTGATCCGAAAACTTTGACCACTATAACAGATCTCAATCAATTGCTTGGTTACCTGATAAACGTGGACTCATTGGTTCCCAAACTATCTCCATCTGTATGTAGCTTCCAATAAAACTATTCACAAGTTTCAAATCCCATTCGTACATCGTCGTGTCTTGTGTGCTTACACCTGCCTCGTGTCTGTCCCACATAGAAGTGTACAATGTACACACAGGATCGTTTATTGGTTTTAGATTGCTCGTGCAAAAGAGGAATCAGGAATACCGGTCACCGTTGCCACATTTAAGCTCTCGCGGACGTCGCTACAGGCTATGGATGGGTATGTTATGGCACGCGCGATAACTACCATAGGCTGGATCGTTCGTTCGTTTCAGCCAAATGACGTCCACTGCTGGACAAAGGCCTCCCCAATGTTTTCCACAATATACGGTCCTGCGTTGCCCGCATTCAGGCTCTTCCCGCGACTTTTACCAGATCGTCGGTCCACCTAGTAGGAGGCCTGCCCACGCTACGTCTTCCAGCACATGGTCGCCACTCCAGAACTTTTCTGCCCCAACGGCCATCGTCCCTACGAGCTCGAGCCACTTGATTTTAGCAATTCTGCGAGCTATGTCTGGTATATGTCAGGAGCTGGATCGTTTACACTATACGCCGCAACCTTTGCGGTCTACCACTTCAAAATTGGATTTCTGATTCACCATTAGAGCAGCGTTTTAAGCATTAATTAACTCTTTAATTAAAACTCCATTATCGGTTGTATAGCGGGTTTTCAGCTTGTGCATTTATGGTACCAGAATGTGACGCAATTGCGATGTGATTTGATCCTGCTTAATTAAAGGCTTTCGGGGAAATCTGATCGTTTTTCTGATGAGAGGCATTGCCAATCGGATAAAATGTATTCAAGCAATTACTAAGTAGAGTCAGTTAATTAATAGTTCTAGAGTTTAACTCAGTCAGTGCCTGGGATATGGGAGTGGCACCGAAGGGTGTTTTTGTAATGTCAAACGTCAGCAAGACTTCAGAATTCACATCCCCTTCACATTTATATGCTCTGTCACGTCATAATAATTATGTCAATGTACCTGTCCCGTGGCGTTTCCACACCTCAGGCACTGACTGAATAAACCGTTAGAGCGCTTTCACATTTAGGTGATTTAGCAGCGCGACAAACGCGCGACAGACGCGCTGCATAAAATTTCATACTATGTGACAGCGGATGCGTTCCTTCACATTATAAAAACGCCGCTGCCGCGCTGCAGTCGCGCTACAAACGCCCTAATGTGAAAGCGCTCTTAGACCAAAAGTGTGTTATAGTAATCGTTTGTTTTAACTGTATTCTGTTTACAGGTCACCAGCCTCTTCAAGACCTGGAGATCCGAGTGGGAAACAGCAGCACAGACTTACAGAGGAACCCGCTGTGTGCCTGGTTCCCAGGCACAATAGGTATGTAAATTTTTAAGACATAGTGTTGACGATTTTCCATTCTATAATTGAGAACATTTCAACCTCTAGAAGTCTTCTTTATTATCATTATCTTAGTTGAGAAAATTCTACTTATTCTCACAGCATCACTAACGCAATACTTACGAGTACCTACTCAATATTATCACCCCCCCCTGGGTGACATTGCTATGAACTTTTCATCTGATAAAGGATCAGACCAACGATATCATAAAGGTAGCAGGAAAGCGCTGGACGCAGGCCGCTACCAACCGGGTAACATGGAAAGTATTGGCGGAGGCCTATGTTCAACAGTGGACGTCCTATGGCTGAGATGATGATGATGATCAAAGGATCATCAAAGACACCATTACTCATATCACAAACAGAAAAGAACCGCGAAATTGTAATTCGTGTTGACGTCATGGTTTTTAATCACCACAGTCTTGCTAAAGCAACTTATGTCTCACAGGCGTTGCAACACACTGACACAGAACTTGGCCTTGATACACATCCGTGCGCCTGTTTTAGAACCAGTTCTGTCTTCCGCTTGAGACGGTTGATTGATGTAGGGCCGGGTTTTCCGGTCTGTTACGATTGCATTTTATGTGTAGATTCTGTAAGCTGTGCAAAATTATACTTTAATGAATCCAATAGCGAGCGAAAGTAATTAGCTACTCAGATTGTTTCTCTATTAATTGTCTAAACCTTCATCATCATCACATTTCCATCAGTTGAGATATATACCAAGAGCTTTCTCGTTGTGGTTAAAAATAATTATGCGTGTAATTTTTATAATATGCCCTTCATTAGCTGAGTCTGCAAAATCGCAAACGTAGTTAATATCAGTACATCTTGATGAACATCGCGTAAAGGAGACCGAGTTGAGTTGTGACAGAGGAGATTGTGACATTGTCGATTTTTGAGAACTCATTAACTACTAGCGAGCTAGTTAGTGCGCGTTTTTAGTTCAAGTCTCGAGCTAACAAATACGCACTGTTGCGAGCTCGATGATAATAATTAAGTACTAGGTTTAATCGACAATGTCACAACTCTCCTGTGTCTGTTACTTCTTACCTCGGTCTCCCCTTTTAGGTACAGTATTTCAAGATCCATGATCCAAATCACATTCACAGACAATAAAACTATCGACATTCAAATCCAAATCGAATCCACGTACCTACCAAGAGCATAATATAATGTTTATTCTGCATTATTCACGCAATCTGACCCGAATTCAACTGGAAAACAACAGCTCTCAAATAGATGCTTGATCTATAAATCTGTAGATCAACTATTGCCACATTTAACAAATAACATAACTATAGCAAATCGTAAACAATTGCACGTTAGTGCTGTCGGCGTCTGCGCACCGGCTTAGTGATGTGCTATAGTTTTTTTTTACTCAAAGTGTATTATCGTCAAGTACGATTTTTTTGGTAATTTACCATAAACATCACAATTTTATGCAAGTGTTTTTTTAATAAAATCTGCAGTTAGGCACGCATGTACCACATGGATTTAAAAGGCAAGCAGAAACTTTACATTTATTTAGAGACATTTACTATGGATCATTAACAATCGTAAATAAATGTCACCAAAAATCATGTATCGTAATCGAAATTCATTGCTGTTGTTTTTATTAAGGGTTTCCTTAAAATTGTGCTTGATTTCCTCAGGGGTCCGTGGACAAAAAAGGTTAAGAAACGCTGATTTAGAATTTGTTCGAATGTGTCTTTATGTTAGCATCTATTTTGGGTTAATTAATTCATAACCAAAAATATATGTTTCTTATAACTCGTTAGCAACCAAAGTCGGATTATTGTACCACCGAGTCCACTTTAGTAACAATAATCGATTTAGTATTCGATTCAGGTGCATAAAACAACACTACCACCTATTTCACGAGCCGAAAGGAGGCCGATGACGAAACTCCGCGAGTTTTATACACTCACCCGACCTCCTTCGTGTAAGCTTTTTGTAAATTTGCTCCAGTTTTAAGTATGAAGTTACTATTTGTATAGAATTAGTAAAAATTATGAGCGGTTTTGTAGCTCACGAACCAGGACACAAAGCTATAAGAGTAGGCGCACACCGTTGATTTTTAGTTGGCCGATAGTTGTGCCCGATTTTAATTTGTATGAAGAATCGGCCAAATCGAATCGGCGTAGTGTGCGCACTCCCATATGATACATGCCCATACTGATCAACTGCCCGACTAAACTATCGGCCGACGAAAAATCAACGGTGTGCGCCTACTCTAAGAACCGAACCCGCGACCTCTGACGTAGTAGGTAGCTGAGCTCACAACCACTGCGCGAACTGAAAAAGTATACCACCATATTCAACTGCTCCACCATACTTCAAAAATCTACGAGCACTTTTTGCATTAACACTTTCTTGTAACTATTACGGAATTTACGGAAATTCAATTTTAAATCCACAGATACATAGTATAATTGGTAAATATGTATAGGCTTTATTTTAGACTAGCGGCCGCTCGCGACTTCGTACGCGTGGATCCCATTTTACTCCCTTGGGGGTAGAGTTTAGTAAAATCCTTTCTTAGCGGATGCCTACGTCATAACATCTACCGGCATGGCTTTCAGCCCGATCCGTCCAGTGCTTTGGGCTGTGCGTTGAAAGATCACTTAAAAGGGAAAATAATGCAGCGCCTGCAAAATTTTTTGCAGACTTTCTTGAATCTTCACAGTATCATAAACATTGCAGAATAGCTTAGAAAATATCAGTAGGGGAGAGTGGGGTAAGACGGGGTGGGGGGCAAGACGGGGCGACCGATCCTGAGTGCGAACGAATTAGCCAATCAAGATCGTTTTAGCACCTGATGCCGCACCGCCATTACGGCAATCAGTTATCGAAGTGAGCGGACAACGACACCACGCATTTGATTTGTTTTCTGGAAAAAACTGTTTTTTGCTAAATAGCTAGTGATTTTTCTATATTATACTGGGCGTGTATTTTCCGTAAATAATAACACCTCGCAATTGATTTAAATGTTATCAAATGTGAAAATAACAACACTAACAGGTAAGAACTTGTTTTCCTCATTGCTGCGTACTGGTTTTATTCAGTTATTTTTTAAATTTTATTTGGCATACGGGGGCATGATGGGGTAGGTGTTAAGGGGCAAGATGGGGTATGAAGGCAAGCGACATAGAAATGTCTAATTTTACTATTTATTTTATTCTAGAATGGTGAGAAATTATAAAAAAAAAACGATTAAGAAAAAGAAAGAAGCGGAAGAGGATATACAGCGAAAAAAAAGAGTTGAGGGAACTTAAAAATCTAAAAAAAAAACCTCCAACTAAGGAGAAAAGAGTAACAAAGAAGAAAAAAGGGGCTAAGAATAGATCATTACACGAGAATAGTGACAGCAATACTGAAAATACACCTTTTTTGTATTGTAAAGGCCTATATTTGGACTCAAATGAAGGCTGGGTTGCTTGTTCAGCATGCGGCAAATGGGCTTACTGCAGCTGTGCAGGTTTAGATGACGAAGATGCAGATACCGTGTTCACTTGTGAACATTGTGAAAAGTAAATAGTCGTTTGCTGCCATACCCCATCTTGCCCTCTTATTGGTACCCCATCTTACCCACGGGGGTACCCCATCTTACCCTAGGGGTGGGGCATGATGGGGATAAGGGTGTATTTCTACTTTTTGTTTTTTTAAATTTTATTATGTTGATTAGACTGCCAAATTACACATTAACAATGAAGACTGATTATCGAAGAAGATTATAAGAATAAAACAAATTAATAAAACTCTTTACGGTCAATTTTATTTACCATCAAACGTTAATGGCCCCGTCTTACCCCACTCTCCCAAGTGAAATTATCGAATCGAATTTAAAAAATACGACAGTAAAGTAACTAGTATACTGCATTTAATGTAGCTATTAACACATAATGCTCAATAGAAGATACTCTAATGATGGTCGTACCACTCGATAAAACGAAAGTGGAAATCGTGTCAGTTCACATACTCTCTCGCGCTGGGAACCGGCGCGCGCGCACATGCGTGTTTTTGCTGCGCGCAATTTGTGGACAACCTGGAAAGTGACTTATAGCAATTAAGATTGCAGTAGCGTTGAGCTCAATGGGTTATGACTGCTTTTGTCAGTGCAAGTAATTTTGTTGAGATATTATTTAATGGTTAAATGGTTAAGCGGGAATAGTGGTTTGTTATCACGATGGCCCCTATATATATACCCATTTAATAGGTATTCAGACTGATGTACAATAAAAGTAATAAATAATAATATTTAATTTAATTTATGAATTTAATGAATTATGATCTAAGTGAATTCTATGTGTCACTGAAAAAAGATAAGTTAAACAACTTATTTACCAACTTTTTAAAACAACCTACTTATAGGAGCAAATCAAAGGAAAATTCCTTAGTACGGCTTAGGCTTCTTATTTTACAAATTTTAAGTCGTATGAAAAAACCGTAAAAATTAGTTTCATTTTCCATCAAGAGTAAAAACATTCATTTCGAAAACTCACAAAAAGCATTGTAAGCATTTCTGGTGACGCTTGACAATACGATATTGAAAACTGTTGCATTGCAATGGCACAGCATTCATTCGATTCCAGAAACACGTACGACAGTTTAACAAAATGTTTTCTTTCATGCTTTGATTTACCTAATTAAATATCGCTGCATGAATGTGAGCCCAAAACAAAGGACATGTGGGACCAGACCAGCATGAAAATTGCTAAAAATAATGTGATTGTTTACATTGGTGATAGAACCAGCTAGCAGCTTTTTTAGAGCTTTATACAATCGACATTAAATCAGACTAGGTATACAATTTTGTTTACAAAATAGCAGCTATTACAATATAGTAACATAAGTATTTACACGTGTAATAACAGTGTAGAGGAGATCAAGGAAAGTTGTAACAGAGGTGAGTTGTCACAAAGCCATTGCGTTAAGCCTGATCGCCATCGCCATCGTGCACGCCGGCTGCACGCGTT